TGGATGGATGGATGGATGGATGGATGGATGGATGGATGGATGGATTTTTTGTTTTCCCTCAAAAGAGCCTCAAGTAACTGCAGGGGAGCAGTATATATAGCAGACAGCACAATGAATGGAGTAATCAGCTAAATGGGAGCAGGTGTGGACAGAAGCAGCTGGAAGGGAGCTAAGGGGAAAAAAGAAGAACAACAAGGGGGAAAAAAAAAGAAACAACGAAAAAAAAAAGGCCTAAACTTAAACAAAAAACAAACTAAAAGAAACCAAAAACGGAAAAAAACAAAGAACAAAAAAATAAAGAATGATGAAGGAGGAAACTAGTGGATAGGGGAAGGGACTATGACGCCATATGAAAAAGTACGGCGCAGATAAATAAATATCAACAATGCTGAAAAGCGACAACTGAAACAAACACCAATGAGTGAAACTAAGAAGTAATTCAAAAATAGGTATAGATATTAACAGCAAACACAGAAATAAGCCAAACCCAAAGTGGAAACTAGAACACAAAAAAAAAAAACCCAGAGCAATAGATCATGAAAAAATCTTACGCTAAAACAAATAGATTTTTTCATGATACCATATTATCAATAATGTGTATTAATATCAACAAGAATTTTTTTTTTAAAGCAGTATGTAATGCACAGTTGTGAATGGATTTGGATCTGTGGGAATGTTCCTGAATGTTGGTGATATATCTTTGTGAACACTTCTTAATAACTTCATGTCTTCTTTCCTAATGGGTCTCTTTTTTTTGTCAAACCCCTTCCATGTTACTCAAATGTCAACATTGTTAGTTTAAAGGTGAATTCATAGTTAAGGAAAGCACTATAGAAAAGGCTGCAGACAACATTTGCTTTTTTGGGTTGCAGAGGTTCATGCCTAATGAATGCTGAAAGTCTAGGACTGTGAAATCTGACAGGTTTCCTAGGATAGAAAACCTTTAACCATTCTGTCTTTATGATTTTTGATCTGATACTTTTGATTTGATCAAATTGACGGTTGATGGCATGTGTTGGTAATTTAAATTAGTTTATTTGAGTCTCTTTGAGGATAAAAAAGTTCAATCTAGACACATATTTCTGTTTCTGACCTCTTACACTGTTTGATAAATTGGTTTTAAATGCATTGATAATAAACTAAAGTATTACATCTGTTTTTTTTTCTTCATTTTGCCTTTGAGAATTTCTTGAATCATGTCTGGACCAAGTGTCTCTAAAATAATCTCTCCAGATGAGTTTGTCTGTCCCCCTTAGAACTGATCCACTTTTTTTCATTGAGTCATTTCCAGGGATTGTATTACTATATACCATTAGATCTACCTGTGTGTTCCCTTTCGTCACGGTGTGACTTCATCATTTGAAACGTAACCCTAAATAACACATGATTATCTTTGTCTGAGCTGCTAAAATTAAAAAGGTAACCACATGCTGTGCACCGGCATGCATATGGCCTGTCGCTCCTCAAATACAAGTTACACTGATGGATGTAAAAAAAAAACAAAAACAAATTAAAACACTGGGATCTATCTCATGCGTTTTAATCGACCACTTGAGTGTGTTGTGTTGCCTAACATTCCTTTCATACTTCTACCCGGTCATGGTTCTCCCAAAGGGGAGCTGGACTTTTAAGACACTTGTCTTTTCTGTATTTGACAAAGAGTTTGGAGATTTTTTCAATAGAAAAATATCAGTGTTTTGGGAAACATGTCATATCCTGCCACCATGCAACAGATACTCTACGTATGTATTCTTTCTAAAATTGTTTATTCTAACTTTTTCTGGAAGAAAAGGGAAAGTTGAGTTTTGAAAAAGAGAAAACCTCAAGTCAGTTTAAATTTTGAGTTTTACAGTTTCCATAAATACAGAACAAAAATTGCTTAGATATAATCAAATTTACCAACTGTAGAATATGTTGTGTTCCATCTAAAGAGTTTTTTTCTCCATTGGCTGCTTTTAAGGTTGCTAGAAGTCAGATTTTACAGATTTATTTGCTTTCATTTTGCTGTGACTCATAAATGTTTCAGATCATTAATACATTTTTTTTTTTTAATCAATGGATAACTTTTTTAATCTATATATTTAATTTTCTATGTCACATTAAGGCCTGATTATTTTGATATAAGCAACTTAAAACTATAAAAGCAACTTAAACACTTAAACAGAACACGTCCAACAACATGAAGTAGACAAAAAAAAAGTAGGTTTTGTTTACTTTCCCATTTTGACAAAACTGTTTATTTAGATTTTTCATGTCATAGAACCACAGCGATTCTTTTTTAGCCAACTGTAAATATGAGAATTGTTGATACTTTCTAGTAGTGACATTCCAACAAAAATTACTTCAAGTGTGTTTCAATGATTAATACTAAGAACTAATAAAAACTCAGAAAATCTAAAGCTCTTCAGACCTCACATCCCTAACTTTGGGTCAGTGACTGTATTCCAGAATAAGAAAGACTGTGAAAAAGGAATCCAACAATTGAGTATTACTATAATTATTATCTGCTATAATTGTTTTTGTGGTTGTCCAGCTTTCTTTGTTTATATCATGTAAAATGTATGTTGTATGACAAAAAAGGAAAGAGTGTGTCATCCATGGCCAGAGACCAGTGACCTGACTGAAAAGGACACCAAGGCCTGTCTCATGACTACCAAAAGGCATTTCAACTTGGAGAGACTCACTCAAAGAAAGGTTGCCATTAAAAAGGCTTTATTGACATGAATGAAATAAGTTATTCTGAGCTTGGACCCTGGCAGAAGACTTTGATGTAGTGAATAGATATGTGCTCTGAATAGTTTAGGAAAAGGAGTAGTCTTCCTCCCAGAAGGGGAACTGGGCTCTGGTGATGGAATAGGCTTGAGGATGAAGGGGAGTAAGAGTAGCCTGAGATGAGGGAAGAGATGGACAGAGATGAGTAAAAGTTAAGCTGGTGTTCAGAAAGAAAGCTGGACAAGGTGCTTCATGAGGGTTATCATGAATGATGATTGGCTTCAGAGGAATTGCGTTTCAGACATCGATTGGCTGGCTCTTAAACGTGGCACAGCAGCAGGTGACCCAGCTGCGGCTCGAAAGAGTCTTCAAGACTGAATTTTTAATTAAGCTTCATTTGATGCATAATTTATTTGCTGAAGCTTAAAAAACTATGCACACACACACTAACACAATTACTCATGCATATACAGCCCTCTTACAAAAAAAATATATTACTATGTT